TTTGAGACAGGGTCTCACTCTGTCCACCCAGGCGGGAGGTACAGGGTGGCAATCTCAGCTCACTTCAGCCTCCACCTGCTGGGCGCAAGTGATTTCCTACTTCAGCCTCCCAATAGCTGAGACTACGGTGCGTGCCACCCTGGCTAATTTTCTGTATAGGGGCGTTTCGCCACGTTGCCCAGGCTAGTCTTGAATTCCTGGCATCAAGCGATCCCGCCTGCTTCATCCTTCCAAAGTGTTGGGATTATAGGCGTGAGCCACTGCACCCTGGCCTTAATTTTCTTTTTTTTTTTTTTTTTTTGAGACCGGAGTCTCGCTCTGTCGCCCAGGCTGGAGTGCAGTGGCGCGATCTCGGCTCACTGGCAAGCTCCGCCTCCCGGGTTCACGCATTCTCCTGCCTCAGCCTCCCGACGAGCTGGGACTACAGGCGCCCACAACCCGCCCCGGCTAACTTTTTGTATTTTTTTAGTAGAGACGGGGTTTCACCGTGGTCTCGATCTCCTGACCTTGTGATCCGCCCCGCGGCCTCCCAAAGTGCTGGGATTACAGGCGTGAGCCACCCGCGCCCGGCCCTTAATTTTCTTAATACTGAGATAAAGCCTGCCTCACAGTGTTATCGTGAAGATTAAAAACCTTAGTGTCTGGACTAATGCCTTAAAAATGGAAGCTATTATTAATCTTACAACATGTCCAGTAGAACTTATTGGGATGATGAGAATATCTGCTGTACAGTATGGTAGCCATTCCTGTGTGGCTGTTAGCACTTGAAGTGTGGCTAGTGTGAATGAGTATGGCATTTGATTTAAGTCACTACAAGAAGCTAGTGGCAGTTACGTTATTGTGGCTCTGTATGTTTCAGGTTTGGATCACTAGCCTAAAGATAGAATTAAAAGAATAGATGAATTAATTTTAAAAAGGAATTGAAAGAATATTCTGGATTAGAGCACGAGGAGAATCAGCTGAGAGGCCTTTAGCATGCTTAAGAAAGAAAATAGGTAAGTAGAATAGGGACTCGGCAAATAGAAAGTATTTTTGTAAAATGCCAGGATTTGATGGTGTGGAGCAAAAGGAGAGGGAATTGAAGGGGATTAAAAAACTAAGGTAGTAGCTAAAACCATAAAACTTCTAGAAGATTATATAGAAAATTCTTAGTGACTTTGGGTTTGGCAGAGAGTTCTCAAAATAGGAAACAAAAAAGCATAAACTTTAAATTTAACTTTGTAAATTTTAAAAACTTTCTGAAAGACAGGCAAATGAAAAGGCAAGAGCAGACTGGGGGAACATATTTGTAGAACATAGCCAACAAAGTATTTGTATCTGTAAAGAACTGGGATATATATGAGATGGAAAATAAGTGCATGAAAAGATGCTTAATGTAATGCTCAACATTAGTCATCAAGGAAGTGCAAATTAAATGACAACCAGGAAACTGCTACATAACTTTCAGAATTGTTTTAAGTTTGAGAAATAAAAACTATATCAAGTATTAAGGATGTGAAGCATCTGAAACTCTCCTGCAGTGGTGGTGGCAATGTTAAATGCTACAACTGCTGTAGAAAAGCTGAACAATTCCTTGAAAGTTATACATACACATTTTATATGACTCAGCCATTCCACCCCTGGATATTTACCCAAGAGAAATGAAAGCATATGTCCACATGAGGAGTAGCTTGCACATTTTTATAGCTTTATTTGTAATAGCCAAAATATCCATTGGTAACTGAGTGGATAAATTATGGTATAACCATACAGTGGAATACTATTTAGCGATAAAAAGGGGACAAAAGGCTGGGCGCGGTGGCTCACACCTGTAATCCCAGCACTTTGGGAGGCCGAGGCGGGCGGATCATGAGGTCAGGAGATTCAGACCATCCTGGCTAACGCAGTGAAACCCTGTCTCTAATAATACTAAAAAATACAAAAAATTAGCCAGGCCTGGTGGCAGGCACCTGTAGTTCCAGCTACTCAGCAGGCTGAGGCAGGAGAATGGCGTGAACCTGGGAGGCAGAGCTTGCAGTGAGCCGAGATCGCGCCACTGCTCTCCAGCCTGAGGGACAAAGCAAGACTCTGTCTCAAAAAAAAAGGGGATTAAAAATTGGTACACACCACATGGATGAATCTCAATGTTGTGTGACAGAAGCCAGGTAAATACATACTGTATGCTTCCATTTATTTAAAATCACAAAACTACAAAGTATAATGAGAAAGCAGATTAGTAGTTGCCTAGGGGTCATATAGGGGCTCATTTTGGGGACATTTTAAGCTTCTCGTCCCTGGGAACTGACCCTAGTGATGGAGAATTTGTAGGAATTTCCTGTGGAAGGTGAGTCTGATTTTTAATTAGGTATCAAATGTTAGTATAACATGTCAGCCAGGTGTGATGGCTTACGCCGGTAATCCCTACACTTTGGGAGGCTGAGGCAGGCGGATCACTTGAGGCCAGGAGTTTGAGACCAGCCTGGCTAACATGGCAAAATGCTGTGTCTACTAAAAATACAAAAGATTAGTTGGGTATGGTGGCGCACACTTGTAGTCACAGCTTTTCGGGAGGCTGAGGCACAAGAATTGCTTAAACGTGGGAGGCAGAGGTTTTAGTGAGCCTAGATTGCGCCATTGCATTCCAGCCTTGGTGACAGGGTGAGGGTCTGTCTCAAAAAATAAAGCAAAGAAAACCATGTCAATGAAAATACCTTGGAGAAGGGGTCAGGGAGCCTGGCCAGTTAGAACAAGTTCTTTGAAGTTGGTTTAATAACATGCAATCGAGCTTCCTTAAGGAAATGGCAAATGGATAAGAATCCGTTGGAAAAACAGTATGCATGAAGTCTGGATTAGACTGAACTAATTCGCCAATATGTTTTACAAGGCTAGCATAACTGATAGCAAGATTTAAGGATGGACCAGCTGGGTGCGGTGGCTCATGCCTGTAATCCCAGCACTTTGGGAGGCCCAGGTGGGTGGATCACTTGAGGTCAGGAATTCGAGACCAGCCTGACAAACATGGTGAAAACCTGTCTCTACTAAAAATACAAAATTAGCCAGGCGTGGTGGTGCATACCTGTAGTCCCAGCTATTTGGGAGGACGAGGCAGGAGAATCACTTGAACCCAGGAGGCAGAGGATGCAGTGAGCCGAGGTTGCGTCTTTGCACTCCAGCCTGGGCAACAAGAGCAAAACCTCATCTCAAAAAAAAAAAAAAAAAAAGATTATGAGGATGGACCATAAGGTTGGAGTGGGGGAGTCTAGAGCCCTATTAATACAGATGGAAAAATCATACATAAAATGGCAAGTCTAATCTACTAAAAGATAAAATGATGACCAAGTTAGGGTTTATCTCAGGAATGCAAGACTGCTACAATATTAGTAAACATGAAGTTCTTTATATTAAAGGAGAAAAAGCATATCCTCTTCATAGATGGTAAAATAGCATTGAAAAAATCCAACACCCTTTCTCGTAAAAACTCTTGGTAAGCTAGG